CAGGCGCCTGCGCGCTGCACGTCCCGGGCCCACGGGCCCCCGGCCGCTAGACGCCGCCGGCCGGCCACGCGCGCCAGCAGACTCCAGGCGGGCCCTGCGGGGAGAAGGGAGCAGCGCTGGCGTGGGCCCGGCCAGACCGCGGCCGACTCAGGTCTCGCGATAGGCACGGAGTCGTGGGCTTGCCTTCTCCCCCGCCCTCCTAGTGAGGCCAAAACACCGCATCGAGCCCGGGGGGTCCTTTGACCTCGCAAGGAGAACGGCAGTTACACTGCTTAGCAAGGCCATAAAGTCTTCTAGTGCACCCCCAACCTTCAATGTCGCGATCCCGTTTAGTATCCTGTGACCATCGCGATGGTAACAGTTCTCCCATAGAAACTGCAATACCCCCATATTTTGCTCCAGAATCTTTGTATATTAAAATAGCGATAAGACCTGTGTCATTTGATATCTCGATATGACAAAGGGCAATAACAGGTCTCCTGAAGTGCGATCATAACACCACCAAACTGCGCCTCAGGATATTCCTATATCAAAATGGTAACAGAGACCCCAATTACTAGGCCATAAATTACTCATCGCCTGAGACCTGGGGATACTGAGTTACTGACAGTTTTCCCCTAGCAAGGGTGTCACACCCCAACGTTGTGCCACAGGAGCTTTCTATATCAAAATGGTGACAGAACCCCCACTGTGGGATTTACATAGCACTAGAGTTCCTCCAAATTAAGGATATCATTCCATGTCTCTCCATGAGACCTTTGCTCAGTATTCTCCCTGGTGAAACTGTGGCACCCAGTAGGTCTCCCTGGAACCTCTGTATGGACAAGGAGTCAGAGCTCTGAGTAGAATAATCAGAAGTAACTCATATTGCACCCTGGGTTCTCCAGATCAGATGGTGACAGAGCAGGGCTACGAAATGCTATATTCCGCTCTGGTGGCTTCGTTTCCGAGATAGGAAGAGAGCTTCCCCACTTCGCCTGGCACTATGACCATGGACTTCTACATCTAGTACCAGGATATTTCTTTTCTTTCTTTCTCTCTTTCTTTATTTTTATTTTATTTTATTTTTTGTTGCTATTGCAGCTGGCCAGTATGGGGAACTAGTACCAGGACATCTCTATGTATGCCTGGTACTCTTTCTATACCAAAGCCCTAGATCTGTCAACACCCAGCACCAGCAGCTGTGATGACATCACTCCAGGAGCTGTGATGACATCATAGGTCCAACAATCCCATGAATGCCCCACCCTACAGACAACCCCACACCACTATCCTGGCCCTCATGTTGGGCCCCAACTCCCTGGAGCCCCTGCACCCCACACCACAGTCCTAAGACAAAGACACTCACCCCCAATCTGCTCTCCTAACTCCTCTCTCCAGGTCTCAATGATGAGAGAGAAGGTGCCCTGGTCGGGTGGAGGAAGGGAAGAGGAGAGAATGGAAGACAGTGGTCAGAGCAAGTACTCAGTGAAGGCCAGAATTTGGGGTGAAGAGAAAGGTGAAATTCCCAGAGGGACCAGCCAAGGAAAACAATGACATCCTTGGCTTTATTGAGATCTACTATGTGGTAAGCACTTTACTCAAGATACCTGGTTGAGTCCCTCAAAAGGGACCCTTGTGAAGTACCAGGATGATCCCATTTTACAGCTGAGGAAACTGAGACTGGAAAAGGTGAGAGGAGATTGGGGTTCCCAAGACAGGATGTGGAATGGTCCCTAGTTGCAAGGAGATTTGGAAATAAACATGAGCACCCTAGTTTTCAGGGATCTCAAAGGAGCAGAGGTAGGGTTCTGTGAACTTTGGGATTCCAGAGGGTGAGTTTGAGTTTCTGGGAATTTGTGGTCCCCAGCGTACAGGGCTAGGGTCAGAACACTGGGATCCCCAGAGGGGAAGCTGGGGTCAGAACATTTAGGGTCTCCAGTGGGTAGGGTTTAGAAATTTGGAAATGTGAGCTTCTAGATGGTAGTTACCGGTCTATGAATTTGGGGCCTCCCAGCGGGCAGGGTTAGTATCGTGGAAGCTGGAGGACGGAAGGGGGTCGAAGTTGGGGTGGCAGTGTTAGGCCCCCGGCACAGGATGTGCCCCAGGGCCGGGTCTCACCGGCCAGGCGTCCCGGAAGGGCACGCGCATGGGGCCGTCCGGCAGCGGCAGGTCGGGCGCGGGCGCTGCGGGCTGCTCAGAGGAGACGGGTCCGCGTGCACTTAGCGCCGCGCCCAAGACGCACGGGGATTCGGCGGCTTCCTCAAAGACCCCTGGCTTCAGGCAGACCCTGAAGAAGAGGCGGCAGGGACCCCGAGTGGTGCATGGGGACCGCGGGGCCCCCGGGCCTGGTCCCGGCCCGAAAGAGTGGATCTGCAGCTCGAAGACGCCGGCCGGGCGTGCCTGGGGCGGGGAGGGGCACAGGGTGAGGGGCCGCCGGGACCCAGGAGTCCGGTCCGCCGCGCGCCCCCTCCCCAGGACCTCCGGGTCGCAAACCACCCACCGCACACCAGCCCACGTGTGTCCCTTTGCACTCCATCTCCCGCCCGGCTCTGACCTGGGGGAGGAAAAAGAGCGCCAGCATCACCGTCCGCGACAGGAGCCGGGCCATCCGCGGGGAGACCATCGCCTTTCGGGGTCTGCGGAGCAGCAGCTGCCGGCTCCGGAGCCTTATATTCGAGGGGACGGCCCCGCCCCTTCAGGCAGCCTCCTGGCTCCAGGGGACCAAGGGGAGGGGGTCGCAGGGAAAGGGGCGCGTGCAGGAGCAACCGTGAAATTGTTCGCGGTCGTGGGCAAGGGCGATGTAGCGAGTGTATGATCCTGCGCCTGGTTGTGGGCGCGACTGTGTGTGTGGCCGAGGTGAGCGGGGGTTGGGGGCTCAAGCCTGTGTGTGAGGTCGCATATCATTTTAAGATTCTGTGAGTGAATGTGTGGTATGGGCGAGAGCTCCCACGTGGGGTTGTCCGGCTTAACGTGTGCCTGGGATTGTGAGTGGTTAACACAGTCGTGAGCCTGTAGATGACGTTAAGATCCTGTGTGCGCGCGTGTGTGTGTGCGTGTGTGCGCGCGCGCGTGTGTGCGTGTGTGTGTGTGCGCGCGCGTGTGTGTGCGCGTGTGTGTGCGCGCGCGTGTGTGTGCGTGCGCGTGTGTGTGTGTGCGTGTGTGCGCGTGTGTGTGTTCCGAGTGGGAGAACGGAGGACCGCGTGACCTGGTGACTGAGCGGCGGCGTTGTGAGACTGTGTGGCTGTGTGGCTGTGTGGATGCTTCTCTGTGCACGTGCACGTGTTGATGTGAGGTCCTGGGCCGCTGCGTGTAGTCGTATGCACTTTGTGTGACGTGGTGGTCTGTACAGGTGTCTCTAGGTGGCTGTGCGTGTGTGGCAGAGACTGTGAGAGGTTATAAATGACGGAGGGGGTGTGAACAGAACTGGGTTGGGGAGGTCCGTGTAGCCGTGTGTGCATACGATGAAGATCGGGGGTTCTTCGTGGACTGGTGTGTGTTTCCCCTCCCCAAGACAAAGCCACCCGCCCAAAGCCCGCATCGTGACGCCGGGGCGAGGAGCCGCTCCTCGGGGGGCCCAGCTGTATGTAAATGCCGCCATCTGCCGGGCGGCCGCACCCCGCCCCCTCCGGCCGCAGCTGGGCCGCGCGTTTGGCCTCCGGAAGGTGTGAGGAGCAAATGGACAGGAAATTCCGTCTTCACGTACCAAGGACTCACTCCCCCACCCCAGGATGAGTGGGAGGGGGGGACACCCCTGGGCCCTCCAGAGCCCTTAGTATTCCAGGGCCATCGCAAGAAAAGCCAGTTAGGAGCAGATGTTCCAGCCCTCTGGTCACAATCACTCTGTGCCAGGCGTTTGGGTAAAGCTTTTTAAATGGAGTGGACTCCTTTTTTTTCCAGAGTAAAAAAAGCTTAATTCTTAGAGGCTAATAATTATGGGGAAAAATTCAAGTTCGATTTCTATACAGATTTTTCTTCTAGATGAGTAAGATACAGTGATCAATGAAGCACAGCCCAGTAAAGTCAGGCATACAGTAGGTGCTCAGCAACTTTTTAATGAATGAAAGAATACCAGTCTAAAGAGTTTTCTCTTAATCCTGAGGACACTTGAATAGTGGACCATTTTGAGCACGGGAGGGCCAAGGGTTGGACTTGTTCTGGGTTGCAGAACACCCCAGGCTCCCTTTCGGTTTGTTAGTGTTTCCACTCTCTTCTTCAATAGTTTTCACCATTCGGAGTTCACCTCCTATAGGAAGCCCTCCCCGACACTCCGCAAGGGGATTAGGCACCTCCTCTCAACTCCCACAGCCCCTGTGATTCCTCTATTCCAGGGCCCTGACCCCTCTGCCTGTGCCTCCCCCATCCTGGCCCTGTCCATTCTGGCCTATGGGGTCTTTCTAAACACAGACCTGACCATGTCCTTCTCCTGCACAGACTGTTGCATGGCTCTCCAGTCCCTTCAAAATATATTGTGAGCTTCTAAGGCTGACATTTGATGATCTCCTTCCACATGCCCCCAATCAGACAGATTCTGTGGCCCCAAAGGGTAGAGCCAGACCTTATAGCCCAAAGTTATTAGGCAGCAAATTAGGCCTTATGATGTGTTAGGTGAGCTTCACGTAAGAGATATTCAAACAGAATTTGGGCAGCCATTAGAACCAGCTGTGGGGGGAGGCAAAAGGCAAATTCCTGCCCTGGATGATAGCATCAGAGGGTAATAGATTCCAGGTCTGAGATATCTAAAAAGTTTAAAACATCACTAAAATAGCCAGCTTTTACTAAGAGTTTGTGCCAAGCATGATGGTGTTTCACATGGATTCTCTTATGTGTGTTCGAAGTGTACATTAAGGGATTTCCAAGCATTTTTTTGGCTTTTCAGGACTTTTCCTTATATGCCGACCTTAGAAACCACAGAAGGCCATGCCAAGGTGACATTTGAGCAAAGACCTAAAGGAGGGGAGGGAGTAAGCCATATGGACGCTGGTGGAAAACACTTCTGGCAGAAGAAACTGCAGCAAGTGCAAAGGTCCTGAGGTGAGCATGCCTGGCACACATGCATATCCCCATGGCTTTCCTTCTCCCTTCATTCTGGTCTCCACACAAATATACCTTCCCCAGAGGCCTTCCCTGACCATTCCATCCAATCTAAAACAGTACCCCCAAGTCCCCAAATCACTGCATCTCCTTACCATACTTATTTTTCTTTATGCATTTGTTACCCCAAGAAATATCTGAGTATTGTCTGCCTCCTCTGCCTCCTCCGTGAGGGCAGAGCTTTTTTCTCTTTTGTTCACTGTTGCACCCCCGTGCCTAGTACAGGGCCTGGCAGCCAGTGCTCAGTATATATTTGTGGAATAAATCAATGAAAGAGGTGCTACAATTAACCCCCTTAATAGATGCCAAGATCCTGCCCAGGGTCACAGGGCTGGCTAGTAGTGTGACCTGAGAATCAGATCCCATTGGGGTATGCCTTAATGCTGGTGCAATCCTGCCCATCGAGTGATACCATGATGCAATGCAGCCCTAGTGCCCCGAGCATTTTAGGAAAACATCCTAGGACATGCTGCATAAGCAGAGTGTCTCAGAGGTCTTCTGTGCACAAGTCATATCCTTTCATACCCTCTTGCCCTCCAGCTTCAAGTAGGTGTGACCTGACAGCACCATTCCTGAGCCAGTCCTGAGGTGGGGGGAGAGGCCTGGGAAGGACCCACTGGGCACTGAAACAAGCAGGACCCAGAGCCTTAATCCCCACGGGCCATTCGGCCATTGGGGAACAGGGACCAATGAACAAACACACTTCTTCCTTTCGTGGCCTGGTGGACAGACAGATCTGAGTCACATTTCAAAAGGCCCCTCAGAAGGTTCCATGGGATTAAGCTTGTCTCCCACTGTGTTAGACAAACATGTACTTGTGGTTGCACTCCCTGCGTAACTCACTTTCCCTAGGGTCACATCTCCTAAACACAAGTTTTGTCTCCTCCTTTGCTTTCTGTTGGGACAGTCTCCAATTCTCAAAACTACATGCAAAGAAAACGCAACCCCCTCCCTCAATCCTGCAGACTTCTTCAAGCTAGGGAGTCCCAAGACCATCAGGAAATGCTCCCTTGGATCATAAACTGTACACCCCAAGGCGGGGGGTGGTGGCACAAATTTTAATCACTCTTGATAGATGCCTGTGAGCCTTTTTAAAAATCTAGAGTGCCAATGTTCAATCTGGCTCACACAGTTTCAAATGCATTTTAGTTATCATTAACACTAGGAAGGTCTTTTAAAAGTATTTAACTGGTACTAGCACTAGATGCTGGCTGGAGCAGGAGAGGCCAGGACAGCCAGGGGGCTTGGGTAGGACTTGTTCAAGATATTTCAATCTGTGAATAACCAGTATGGCCTGGTAACAAGCCCCATGTAAATACATACATAACCTGAGTACGGATCATCCCTTTACTCCTCACAACCACTCTACCAAAGTACTGTCAACAACCCACTTTATTTTGGGGGGGAGGGGCTGGCCAGTACACCCCATCTTAGAGATAAGGAAACTGAGGCAGAGGTGCCTTGCTGAAGGCTCAAACAGCTACCATCTGAGTGCCTCCCTGGGAGTGCCTCACTTGGCCTTCAAGCCTAGTCTATGAGGTAGGAATTATGATTATTGTACGGATTTGTACGGATGTGGAAACTGAGGCACTGAAAGGTGAAGTAACTTGCCCAGAATCACACAGCCAGCACAGAAGCTGCAGAGCTTGGCTTTGAACCCAGACAATCTGGAACCTGTACTTTTTTTTTTTTTTTTAATCTTCAGAAAACTATAGATTCACCAGGAACCAGTACTTTAAATAATACACAGCAGTGCCATCCAATGCAGGAGCCAGGAGACATATGTGGCTATTTAAATTAAATTAATTAAAATGAAACAACTAAAAAAAGAAAAAAGAAAAAAAAGGGCTGGCCGGTTAGCTCAGCTGGTTAGAGCACGGTGCTGACAACACCAAGATCCAGGGTTTCATCCTTGTACTGTCCAGCAGCCAAAAGATAAAAAATTTTAAAATAAAAAATTTTTAAATACTTTTTCTTAAAGAAACAAATAAATTCAGTTCTTCCCTCACACTAGCCACATTCCAGGTGCTCAATAGCCCCATATGGCCAATGGCTACTGTACTGGACAACGCAGACAGGGAATAAACATCACAGAAAGTTCTATTGGAGAATGCCGCTACATTGTCTGTTTTAGGAGCCGACAATTAAAAATAGGAAGATTTAATATAAAAATCCCAATTTCTGGCTTCTATTGAAAAATTGGAAGATCAAGCAACTCTAGGCCCACCTTCCCACGGAGCCATGGCTGACTGGAACTGAGCGCCAGCTGCCCTCTTGACATGGGGTGATCTCTGGTCCAGCAGAGCTCCACTGGGCCCACATTTCACATATTTCCACAGCAGCCTGGCAGTTACCTGTCTTTAAAACCCCCAGTGCCATCCTCTTTTCTCTTTTCCACACATGGGGAATCCGAGGCCAGAGAGGAAGACGCACTTTTTGTAGATCACACAGCACATGGGAAGACATGACCAGAGCAGAGATCCAGGTTTTCAGATTCCCAGGCCAGCGTTAAAAAACAACCCTGATCCAACAAAGCACCCACTCTGTGCTTTGCAGCCAATCAGCCACTGTGAGAGTCCCGGACCTCACCCCATGCCCCCATCTGGAGACTCTCTGGACACAGGAGTTGTGGCATCTGGGATGCACTTTATTGGTCATGTGGCTGCTCGAGCCTTGGTCTGGGAGCACTGGGACCTGGGGCCCTGGACCCAGGCACTGAGTTTGAGGAGGCCCAGAGGTCAGGGCTGTTTGGAGCGAGGCCACAAGCGGCTGGTGAGAGAGCCAAGGAAGAGGTTCTGCTTGTTGGACTTGGAGAGCTCGGCCAGGCGCTGCTGTTCCTCCTGGGGTGGGGGAACAGATAAAAGAGTGCAAGGTCAGCCAGGCAGAGCCTTCTCCCACACTCCCAGCCCCCAGCCCAGGACCACCCTTCCTTTAGACCTCTGCCCAACTCAGACTACTTTTCCCAAACCCCCAGAACACCAGCCCATACACAGCAAGACCCCAGACACCCAGCTCAGACACTGGCAAGAGTCACCTCTGAGCCACAGGAGCCCAGGCTCGGATGTTTGGGGGGTGCCAGACTCAAATCCCAGGCACCCTGAACCTCAGCAGCTTCTCAGGCCCCAAGCTGTCATAATCCCCTTCCCTGGATCCCAGGGTTCCCTCCCCTGAGCCCTAGGACCGTATCCAAGACACTATCACCCCAACTTGGCTGCTGGTGAGACCCCAGGCCTATCCACCACGGCCCTCTTAACCAGACTGCATCATCCTGCTCCCTGGGCCCCCAGTGCCCAATCCTGAGCCCCATAAGCCCTGTCTGGATGCTGGGGGCACCCAAGCCCAAATCTCCAAGGATTCCTTCTCTGGGCACTCAGGGGCTCCAGCCCTATCCCCAGGAACCCAACCCAGAATCTGGTCAACCTCAGCCTAGATCCCTGGGAATCTCTTTCCCAGACTCATTCATACTCTAACTCCCTCTTCCAAATGACCAGAGTCCCTCCAAGACCATCAGAACTCCTTCCTCACACTCTTGGGCCAAGTACCCAGAGATCTTTCCAGACCTGACCTAATCCACAGTCCACCTCCACAAGGTGCCCCCAGGCCTACTCAAGACCATCAGGGATGACCCCTCTCTTGAGACCTATCTCAAATGCTTGCTACTGGCTGCCTCCTGTTCCCAGAGCAGGCTGCACAATCAATTCACCCTCTCATTAGAACAGCCTTGCAAGACAGGCTGTGTTATAGCCCCTACAGTACAGACAGAGACTGAGGCAAAGAAGAGAAAGCATTTGCTGCAGGCCACACAGCCAACCAAGGAGCATGAGACAGGCTGCTCCAGGGCTCCTCCTTCAGGAGCCTCAGAACTGATCTGCTGCTGTGGGATCTGAGCACTGACCTGCTCTAGCCGGCTTTGCCGCTGTTTGAAAGCCTCCAGCGGGTCATCCTCCAGTGCATAGTGCTCCAGCACAGTTCGGACATCCTCCACACCGTTCAGTGCAATGGCTGTGGGCACAACAGGTGGGTGGTCAGCGGGCTTCTGAAGGCCAGAGGGAGTGGTGTCCGCAAGGGTAAGGGTCAGATACTAGGGGGTCAGTGCTACTTGGAATGTTTTTCAACTCTCTGAAAGGGCTCCCCTGACATTCCCAAGTATCCCCTTAATATTCCAGAGGAGCAGCACGAACATTCCGAGAAGTTCCTAAAAACTCCAAGATATTAATGGACTTCCTGAATCTCAACTGCCCAGTTTACATGAAAGACAAGCCAGAATTAAGTGTCTAGCATTCCTCTTGAGGGTCAAGGGCTCTGGGGTCAGAGGCCAGGAGGTCAGGGGTCAGTCTCACTCTTGAGGAAGGCAGACAAGTCCAACAAGACCCGGTCATCGGAGTTGCCGTCCCAAGGCCTCAGGGCAACACCATTATAGGGCTGTAGACTGAAAGCTTCCTTCTTGCAGTCCACGACTACTACACGGGCTGGGTTCCGATTCAGACATGAAATGTCCTAGAAGTGGGTGATAGTCAGGTCAACATTTGTACCCCTCTCCTCCCCGCCAGGAATGCACAGAGGGAGACAACACATGCATATATACACATATACACATACACATAACACACACAGACGCAGAGCATTGCATACACTGGGATCAACACGGCAGCGCCTCCCAAAGATCAGGCTTGCATGATGGCATCAAACCTCCCAAAGAGCTGGGGAGCTAGCACAGATTCCTAGATCCAGGGCCTAGCACCTGGAGGGGCTGATTTGGAGGTTCCCTGGGGAGGGAGCCAGGCACTTCTGTATTTATCCACTGTCCCAGGTGACTGTGAATGTTGTATGTTTAAGAACCTCCCATCCAGATAAAGAGGTACAGACAGATCTACAGCAACACACAGGGATTCACACGAAGACACCCAGACAGATCCTTCGAGACCCTCAGTCCCAGCTCATGTACTTCTGAATCCCCAAGAGCAACACAGAACCCCAGACCCATCAAGACACAGACAGAAACCCAAAAGACACCTAGACACCTAGATGCTTGGAGCCAGACTCACAGATCCCTGGATATATCACTGGCCACAGTAACAGATGCCAGGTAAAACAAACCCCCAAACACAGTCTCATAGAAGCTATTATAATTATACACGAAACCAGAAACACTCAGTTACAGACACAGAGAGATTAAAAAAAACAGCTTCCAAACTCATGTCCATACAGCTCACCCCCAGCTGTCTTCATTAGGGAGACCCCATTTTCCCCACTTCCACCCCTGGACTTTGGGGAAAGGAGAAGGGCCTAGAGGCCCAGGCCAAGCTGGAGGAAGGCTGGTGTCCTGCCATCAGGAATCCAATCGAGCAGGGTTGAGGCTAGGGGCAGAGCTGGGCCCTCCTTCCCTTAGCCAATGCCAGCGCCCCCAAACCCCAGAGGCCCACCCATGACCCCCGCGTGGCACCTTCACATGATGCCCATCCATGTATCTCGTGGCATCCCGGAACAGACGGTAGGAAATGAAGCCATGGGGGTCCACACTGTCGATAAGCGGAAATGCAGTCTGGGAGGTACAGGAGGGGGGAAAGGTCGGCCTGAGCCCTGGCCCTCCAGATCTCCCACACCTCCCACCACACCAACTGTCCCTCCCTGACCCAGAGCTTCACCATGCCAGTCTCTGACGTAAAGATGACAATTTCATACAAAGGGGCGAGCTGCTGGAACAAGGTCTCGATGCCTGGGCGCTTCTTAAACCTCCAGCCAGTGGCCAACTGGGGAGACAGTGAGGACACATTGAGACCAAGAGGCCTTCAGAGTCCCCAAGAAGACAAAGACCCAGCCTGAAGGATTCTCAGAACTAGAGTTCTCTCCCTGTCTTTGTGGCTCTTGGGGGTTTCAGGAGTACCTGGGCTGTGACGGAGGGTCTGGGTCCCACAACCAGACCTGACTTCTTCAACACTATGTGCCAAGGCACACCTACAACAACCCTACAGACTGGGTATTACTGGTAATGCCTTTTTCCAGTTGAGGGAACTGAGGCAAGGAGAGGTGACACCTCCTCCCCAAGATCACATAGCAGAGCTTTATCCCCAACCCGCTGCCTTCCCCAGGACACACCGACCACTCAGGGTGCAAGAGGACACCAGTGAGCTCTAAGACAAGCGTGTAGGGCGGCTGGTAGTACGGCTCCTGCAGAGGGTCTGGGAGGAGGCAGGGGCTGGTGGGCTCGATGATCATCTGTGGGAGAGGGACAGGGTAGGAACACTGAGACAAGTAGGCTGGTGCTGAGGATGGAGGGACGGGGACCCGGCCCAGGACTCCTTCTCACCTGTCTATAATCTTTGAAATATTTGTATGTCCGGCGTAACTGCTGTACCAGAATTGGATCTAGGAGAACACCAAGCACAAAGGGATTCCAAAATAAGTCACTGCTCACCTTCCGAGGGGTTTAGTATCTACCAGTTATAAACAGGTCTACATACGCACCTGGTTTGAACCAGCTCATTTCTAGGTCCAAAGAAAGAAGGCAATGACATACCACCTGCTCAATCTTATATCCACATGCCACCCCAGGTATAAAATAGTATGTTTATACACCAGCCCACTTAACTGTCATTATCAGTATATTTAGTCCATTTTCAAGCAGGCTTCCAGATCTGCTAGTTTTAAGCCAGGGTGTTGAGTCTAATTAAACAATGAATATATACACACTTCTGTATACTTTAAACCAGCGGTTCTCACCCAGGAACCATTTTGTCTCCCCCTCTCCCTGGGAAATTTGGCAATGTCTGGAGACATTTTTGTCTGTCACAATAAACCTAGTGGGGAGATGCCCAAGATGCTGCTAAACATCCCACAGTGCACAGGACAGTCCCCCACAACAAAGAATGATCTGTTCTGAAGCATCAATAGGGCCAAGGGTGAAAAACCCTGGTTTGTGAATAAACTGAATTTTAAGTTTAAAACAGAAAACTTACATGACTGCCTACTTCAATACAGTATTTTAAGTACAATTCTATCTATGAGGCTGCTTCTTAAAAATCACAATACTAGGGCCGGCCCGGTGGCGCACTGCTACAGTGCGCCGCTTGGGAAGCGCGGCGGCGCTCCCGCCGAGGGTTCGGATCCCACATACAGACCGGTTCCCGCTCACTGGCTGAGCGAGGTGCAGGGAGCAACACCGAGGGTTGCGATCCCGTTGCCGGTCCCGGGCCGGTATGGGCGTGACACTGAGGGTTGCAATCCGTTGCCGGTCAGTAAAAAAGACAAAAAGGAAAAAAAAAAAATCACAATACTAAAGCCAGTTAAGCTAGTGTGTGTGTACACACACACACACACACACACACACACACGCACGCTTTAAACCTGCCCTATTTATTTATTTTTGTGGGGGGCAGCTGGCCAGTAGGGGGATCCAAACCCTTGACCTTGGTGTTATAACACCCATGCTTTAACCAACTGAACTAACTAGTCAGCCCTACCTACCCAATTTAAATCAGCTATTTGATTTATTTAAGCCAGTATGACTCTACATCTGCCCAGTTAAAACAGCACACTTACTCACCTGCCCAGTGTAAAAAAATCAGTGTATTAACATGCCTGTTTGCAAACATCCCCAGCACAAACAGGTGGCTTTCTGGATTCACCAATTTTATTTTTCTCCTAGGAAGGGCCAGGTATGATAGAATTGACAACTACTCTCTACTATCCAATTTGTCAGAAACTCTCCACCAAAATTTGGTTAACCAGAGGGGGAGGGAGGAAGGAGGCATTCACTGTTTTGCAAATGAGGAGTCAGATGCGGTAGGGGTTTAGGGGTTAAAAAAGGGGGGGGGAGAGGTTGTCATAAAGAGGAGGGAATTAGGGGCTGCAGATGCTCAGAACTAAGGCACAGAAAGCCACGTGTCAGGCAATAGGCTGTCCTGTCTCCCCAAGCCTTGCTACCCCAGGCTCCCCTCCCCCACCTGTCCCTGACCATCTGCTCTCAGGCTGAGGGGCCGGGGAAGGGGGCTGGGGCTTTGTAATGCCTCCTCCCCCAAAGCCATCCAGCTGCTGATTCCCCCACCCCCCACAATGGAAGGAGGAGAGGCCTGGGGCACCAGATGGGGAGGGTGACATCCCTACAAATGGCAGAGGTGAGAGCGTCAGGGGACTCCAGAATCTGTGCTTGTTTACTCACCATTGTCGAACTCATCGGGAATCTGGGGAGTAGAGAGAAAAATGGAAGATTTGGGATGGCAGAGACAAAACCGCATCACACCCAGAAAAGGAATCTCCAGGGCTCTGAGAGGAGTAGGCAAAGGTCTCTGGAAGGGAGAGGCTCACTGCAGTCCAGAAATGACCCTGAAGAAACCAAATGGGACCCACCCTCTGACCCATGGGATGGGACTCCTGGCAAGGCCCCTGGGTCCCTTTCCCCTCACCTTGGCACCGGTTTCATCCACAGGGTTGTTTCCTGCAAGGGAGACAGGGATGAATTAGAGAAATTGGGGCTCAGTCTCCTGGATCTTGAGGGAGGAGGGCTAGAGGCATGGCCTCCTGGATTCAAGGGAGGAGGGGGCTGGGAGCCAGGATGCCTGGGTCTTGGAGAGAAAGAAGGTTAGGGTCAGTTCTCCTGGGTCCCTGAGAAATGAACGGACTACCAGGAGCTGAACTTTTTGGTGCTGAAGTTAGACATAGCTTAGGAGGCTGGTCCAAGCCTATCCTTCCCTATCTTCCCATAGGCTCTCTATAGTTTGGTACAGGATCCAGCTAGAATGAGCAGAACCTTAAGCAGAAGGGGTAGAAGGGAGAAGAAAGGAGACTTCCCACATTTCCAAGGTAGGTGTCCTAGCTGGCTATCCTACTGAGGGAGGAACCAAGGAACGAAGGTGAGTGAAGCCCTTAAGGGAAAGAAGGGGAGGTTTCACAGTGGAATTTGGGAAGCCAACAAAACAAAATTAGGGGGCAGGGGTATGTCCCTCACCGAAGATATAGATGACGCTCACGGTCCCACCGGCCCCAAGCAGCCCAGCGAGCCAGAGTGCGACTTTTTTGGCGTAGCTGGGACCCTCTGAGGCTGTCTGCTGCTGTGGCCCTTGGGCCTTAGTGCCCCCATGGCTCCCGATCTCTGCAGCCTGTGGTTGACAAGGGGGAGATCAGTCAAGAGAAAAGAGAGGTCAGGATGGTTCAGGTTCTCCAGTCCAAGAAGAATCAAGGTACTGAGAGCCGGGAAGCACACGCCCATATAGCCCCGGGTATGTGGAGGGGCATATTCCTCTTGAAGGGGCAGCTGGGGGGTAGCCCCTCAGAGGATCAAAACAGACTGTCCAGCTCCAGAATCCTAGGGGTTCAAGAGCTGACAAGCCAGGTGCCCAGGATCCCGGAGGCAACAAGACTGGAGGTTTGGAGACTAGAAAAGCAAGGCAGGGAGAATAAGAGTTCAGGGGGCCTAAATATTGGGATGCCTGAAGCAAGGGAACGGAGGGAACACAGGGGACAGGACGGGAGCTAAGCCATCCGGCTGCCTGGGGCTCAAGGTAGCAGGGTATAGAGGGGAAGGGATGGCAGTGGGGAAGGGCAATCACATGTCTGTGGCTTGGGGAAGTATAACAGGAAATTGATGGAGTTGGAGGTCAGAACGGCTGGGTCTATGTCAACATAGAGACAGGTCCAATCCGAAGCCCGAACGTCTACCTCACCACCACTAACAACGCGGAGAAAATACCCCCAGGGCCAGGCTGGGACCCCAGCGTCCCAGGACCCTTCCCGCTCAAGTATCACTTAAATAGTCACTGAAATAGGAACAGGTGAGCCCCTCCTCCGGCGTCCACGTGGGTGGGAGGTGGGGTGCAGAGAACGCACTTGGGTCCCCCACATCCAGCCCGGGGGAGCGAATGTCCACCTCGGGAGGCAGGAAAGCGCCCTAAAACGCGGGCGGCTTTCCATTCAGCACCCTGAGGTGCTGCATCCCATCGGCCTCCCCAGGTGGCGATATGTCCGAAACTCCAAGGAGCGACCCCCGCACCGGGAGTTCCACCCCCATTCCGCTAACCTGGCTTGGGGTCCGGGTGGGCGGCGTAGCCAACCTCGTGCACAGCCCCTGCGCGCCGAGCCGGAGTCCGCTCCGCAAGCGCGAGAGCAGCGCCGCCGAGGCCGCCATCTTGCGCTGACGCCACGCGGCCCCGCCCACTCGCACCCTCTTTGCCCTCCCGGGCCGGGGCTCCTACCAATGGGGTCGCAGAGGAGGGGTTGTAGACGGAAGCCCCAGAGAGTCAAAAAATTGCGGACGCACGGCCGCAGCCGCGCTTGTGTCTGACCGCTTTTTTGCCTGTCTGTGGGTGAGCCAACTGGGATAGAAAGTCAGCTGGCACCACGCCCCCCTCAGGCCGTAGGGAGTGTTGTCACCCCTGCAACTGGACATGGCGGGGGATCACACTCAATGCTCAGAGGTAAAGCCGAGACCATAATGAAGGAACCCAGTAGGTGCCTAAAAGCAAATAGTCAGGTAGTTCGTCTCACCCTCTGAGGAGGTCTGCCTTCACCTCCCAATTGCCAGAAGTGGAAACTGAGGCCCAGAAAGAGGGCTAGAAAGCCAGGCCTCACAAAGTCTTTCTCACGTGGAGCTGGGAGGCGGAATCTCATCTCTTCCGTTCCCTCCAAACATGACTACGACGGGCCTGGAGAGCCCACCGTTTCATCTGGGGCTAAGCCAAAGGAACAAGCGCCACATCTGGGAGCATAGGGGTTAATGAGGACAAGAAATCAGTGATTTAGAGCCTACAGAGAGCCATGATGAATCTCCCCCGAATTATTTTGTGTGGAAAAAAGTCTGATATCATTTGTGCAAACTTTAAAAGCATAAATATTAAGGTAGTAAAAGTACAAGGTCAGGCAAGAGAAAGTCACACGGAATTCAGGGTTGTGGTTACTGCTGGAGAGGAATTTTAGTTGCTGCTGAAGTAATTACTATCTGGTACATAGTTTCCTAAGCTGGGTAGTGTAGGCAGGTTCTTGGTATATCTTTTTGAACATCTGAAATATAATACATTTACTTTTATAAAAAGTTATGTGAATATCAAATGAGGAAGGGAAGGCCCCATTCTCTACACTGCTTCCACTCCCACCCCCAAGTCATCAAACTACAACAATTCTGATTCACTGCTACCGGGGTTCAAGAAAAAGGCCCATTAAGCCCTATATCCTGCACCATAGCAGGAATTTAGGTTTCCTGGGAGATACTGTGATTTTCACTTAGTGTAACTTATGCCTGAATAAGATGTAAGGTGTTACAAGGCTGTGCTCTAACCAACTGAGCTAACCGGCCAGCCCCAAATCATCTCTTTCTGATGTCTTCTCATACTTTCCTCTCAAGAGCCCTTAGGGTAGGCTCTATCATTATTTCCTGGTTGGGGAAACTGAGACTTAGGTAGGACCCAGTAGTAGGACCCAGTTTGCCCCAAAACCCACAGCAAGGAAGTAAATGGGTTCTACAAATGACCCCACTTACAAATGAAACACACACACACACACACACACACACACACACACACACACACACACACACACACGACTTTTGACCAGCTTCTTTTTATTGAAAGACCATAACACAAAAGCAAGCAGGGGAGAAGGGGTACAAGTAGGTGGGAACCCTCCCCCAGACTCTACACTCTGATTCCCATAAGCATGAGGGAGGGAGAAGATGGAAACCCAGAAAGGAAAATAAAGGAAATCCAGAATGATCAGCCTAGCCCTGCTCCAGGTCCAAGATCATATGTCAGGGCCAAGGTCCAGGGAAGGAAGGACGGTCACTCTTCATCTGCCAGATTATCTGCCAAAGTCCACCCACCCTGCCTGCCTTAGGCTTCCAGGAGCTTCCCCAAGAAGCGGAGGTTAAGGATCTTGAGCTGCTCATCAAGGTCCATGCGGACGATGCCATCCTCACCATCAATACTCAGCAGGACACCTGTGGCTTCCCGATCCTCACCCAGGATCACCTTCACCTGGGGGTTGGGGGGAGCATGTGGTCAGAGTCCCATGTCAGCAGCCCAACTCCCCCTCATCCCCTTGACCCTTCCCCTTACCTTGTTGTTCTTGGTGGGGGTGATGGGCTCCAGGTGCTCACTGGAAATGCTGACGACCTTCTCACTGTCCTTCAGGTACACAGAGCACATGCCTCCCTGGGGGGTAGGGACAGCCTGGTCAGCCGGACTGAGGCCCAAACTTCAGGGAACGCAGGTTCAGGGCTCATTCTGAGAACACACTCAAGTCACTTTCCCAAGGTGATATAGGGGGCAGAAAAGGCCAAGGCTGGGCCTGGCTCCAAGGCCTGGGGCCTGTGGTGTATGGGGACAGGGTGGGTGGGACAGGTGACCAGGTCAGCAAGGGAGACACCAGAATGAAGCTAACTTAGGCCAGAGGGGGAAATGCTTCTCAGGCACTTGACTCCACGTCCCAAGCTGGCCTCCACACTTCTTCTCCATACCTGCTCCTCCTCCTGGGCCCCAGTCTCAGGACAGCCCCACAGTCCCCAGCCAGAGCTCTGGACCTCTTCTTGCTCACGTCCCTCACTGGCAACCCTCCAGCTCTAAGGCCTGTCCATTCAGCCTCCTGAGGGTCTCTCCCACCTCCCTCCTCTCTTCCCCACAGCCCTGCCCTAGTGCAGCCTAACCTCCCCTTGGGGTCCTTGCCCCCCACCTCACCACCCCCAATTTATCCTTGATATGGCAACATAGAGAATTAAGTCCAAACCACAAATCCAATCCCACCTCTCCTGCTTAGATTCCCCCAGTGCCCTCTGGACAGTCCAAGTTCCTCAGGCTGGCACAAGACCTGGCCCAGCTACTACTCTGACCTCATCACTCACCTTCACCTTGGCTCTTTATGTCCCAGCCACAGTGAATAGTTTAGCTCCCCTAAAGCGCTAAGCTTTCCCTTACATCAAGGCCTTTGCACATGCAATTCCCTCTATTAAGAACATATTTAACTCCAGTCATTTTTCTTGGCTTCTCATGTTCATTCTTTAGGTCTCAGCTCAGATGTCTCCTTCCCCAGAAAGCCCTCCCTGATTCCCCCAAAGTTGGGTAACGTGCCTCCTCTGGGTTCCCATACTTCTCTTTGCCCTTTGGCCTTTCCTCATCCCACCTCTGCCCACTCTGAGCTGTCACTATCTGGGGACATGTCCGTCTCCCCCAATGGAATGTGAGGTCCACGAGGGCAGGACCTGGAGCTGTCTTCATCTCTGGTGTTGAATTAATTATCAGAGGGGCTGGCCAGTTAGCTCACTTAAGAGCACCAAGGCCAAGGGTTCAGATCCCCATACCAGCCAGCCACGAAAAAAAAAGTTATTAGAGGACCAACAAGGTGCTGGTCCTTCATCTAGGAAGTGGGGCTCCTGAGGAATAAAATATAGGCTTTGTAATCAAAGAATCACACCAGGGGAAACTTTGAGCTTTTAGGCAGTAAACAGATAACGTTAAGAATTACATGGACCAATAAGACACAGACCTGAGATAGCCTAGGTGTTTCCCTAAAGGTTGAGCAGGCATTAACTAGACAAAATGGAAGGAAGAGAGAGGAAAGTATACGTGTAAACGCTCTGAGGCTGGAGGGACCTCATTAAATCTGAGAAAGGGAAAGGCCAGTAGCCCTGGAGAGCCAGGGGAGAGCCCTGGGGGTATAGGTGCCTGGCGCTAAGCCCAAGCCTGGCACAGCAGCAGCACTCAGTACGTATTACTGATCTGCAAAAGAGAATGTCAAAAAGTAACCATACTCTTCTGTGCCAGGCACTGTTCCAAGCTACAGGTCCTCTGCTTTGAGCACAAGAGGCAGAAATCCCTGCCCTTGTGGAGTTGTATTCCAAACCTTTCCACATCTGTTTTTCTTACTATAAATACTTGAATATGTGGTTGGACAATTAAAAAGAAAAAAGATGTAACCACAGAAATCAGGGGCACCAAAGGGGAGGATTCCTGTCCACCTACCACCCTGGGCCCCACGTACCGTGACGCTGCGTATGACTCCGGTCTGCCCTACCACCTGTGTATCCAGGTAGGTGTCCCGCACCTTCACCTGGATGTCAGTGGTTACCCAGTCGCTGGAGTTCTGCTCGATGCCTGAGCCCGGTGTGTGCGGGTTGTAGCCACCAGGGGAGGGGGCTCCAGGTGTCATCGGACTGTAGCCAACGGGGCTCGGACTGGGGCTGGCCTGCAGGGGAAAGGGAGACAATGTCATTGGGAATAGTCATCTGGCCTAATTGTCCCTATAAGCCCCAGGCTCACCCTAGCCCACCGCCCTCAAGGGCATGCAAGCTGACCAGTACCTGATAGGCCATGGGTGAGGGCGTGGGATGGTAGCTGGCTGGAGAATGGGTGTTCTGGTAGCCTGCTGGGCTTGGCGCTACCTGATGGTAGCTCTGGGGGCTGGGGCTGGGCTGGTAGGAGCCTTGTGGGGAGGGGGCGGCATAGGGGGAGAATTGGTCTGTGTTGTACCTGTAGGAACAAAGAGAGAAGGGGGCATCTGTTGGGGCAGGGAGGGAGAAGGAAGTGGTGGCAGGGATTGATCAGGGCTAGCCCCAGTGGACTCACATGGCTGGTGTTCCTGGCGTCTGCGGGTTGTACTGTGGGTTGACCTGTGGGGATGAGGGATCTGGGTAGCCAGGTGTTTGGGGATTGGGGGTTCCCCCATAGGCTTGTGGGGACGGGGTAGGCTCGTCATCAAAGGCGTACTCATATTCTTCATCAGCCCTGTTGGGGACAGAAGCCTGGTGGTGATGATGGTGGTGATAACAAAGCAGCAGTACATGCTCCCAGACAGCACTGTACACCACACCCTGAACTGAGGCAATTTCATTCTCACAGGAGCCCCATCCAGAGGTGTTCCTGACATCATCTCCGTTCCACAGCTGAGACTGTGATGCAGAGAGATGAGGTTGCCTGCCCAAGGTCACACACTCAGGCAGTCTGTCTTCAAGTCCAGGAGTAACCACAATGGGTGACTGGAGAGGAAACTCATTTGTCCCACTCCCTGCCATGCTGACTCCTTCCCGTGGACCAGCCTGGGGTGGCAGCAGAGTTCAGGTGGGCCCAGAGACCCCTCCATCCGCCAGACACTCTGGCAGAACCACTCATACACACCAGCATGCACACTTAGTGCCTAAGGGAACCCCAGCCCTCA